ATACGCACGCATACAAAGCAAACTCATCAAACAAACGTCGTCAGAAAATCCTCACGCCGTGTACAAACAAAAGTTAGTCTAAAAGCGCAACATTCATAACGGCTTCTGCAAGAAGAAGGTGAATTCAAAAACCCAGTTCTAGTGGGGCATGAGAAGCCTTAAAATTTGACTATTTTAGAAAAATTTTGGAAAGTGATTCCTGTCCCTCGTGTTCTCACCTTGAGACAGGACAGTCGAACGAATCCATCAAGCACTGTTCAAACTAGCTGCCTTAGGGAACCCGAAGGTTCATCACCGAATTAACCAAAGCCCTCCACCGGACCCTGTCCTGGGCCAACAAAATCCAGTCTCCTTCGACTCCTATCTCCCATAGATCCCGCCTGAGATTATCCTCCCATCTACGTCTAGGTCTCCCCAGAGGTCTCTTCCCCTCAGGCTTCTCGGTGCACACCTCTTGTCCCATCCATGCGCGCTACATGTCCCGCCCATCTCACTCTTCTCGACTTAATCACCCTGACAATATTGGGGGAGGAGTACAGATTTTTAAGTTTTCTCCACGCCCCATCGTCTTCTCGATTCTCAAACACCTGCAATCTGTGTTCCTCCCTCTGAGTGAGAGACCATGTTTCGCACCCATACAAAACAACAGGCAAGATTATTGTTTTGTATACTTTAATTTTCAGGTTCTTAGAAATCAGACGGGAAGACAAAATATTTTGGACTGAGAAGTTGCAAGCATTTCCGGAATTTAATCTCCTCCAAACTTCCTCATGAGTGTCATTTTCATTTGTTGTTGTTCTCAAATATTTGAACTTTGTTAAAATTTCAAAGGACTTATTAGCAGCCCTAACATGACTCTGTCCGCCTGTCTGCTTACGGAAAAATCCTTGCCATGTGACTCTACTTCGAGGAACGTTTCCCTGTTCGCAATTGGATGTTGCGGTGCAGATCGACAAGAAAACACTGACAACATTTCTGGGAACAATAATTTACCTCCTACTGAGACTCTTTTGAAATCACTTGAAGGTGAAAATTCCCCCCTTCCACCCCGCGATACCTCAGCAGGGAGTAAGTGAGTTTTACCCAAAACAAGAGAACTTGAAAATAGCGACTGTCGTAATCAGCGAGCTGAAAAATACAATTAGTGAACTAGGGAAATGGAGAAGGATTTTCGATCTGCCTCTCCTCAGTTTGTTGTCAGTAATGAAGCGTCTCTTTGACTTTAAATTGGAAGTTACTTGCTATTTGTGACGTCAGAAGAACGAGATTCTCATTCGTAAGTATCAATTTCAACATTTTAATTACCGTATCTACTCTGTTTTAAGACGCAGTCGATTGGAAGACGCCCTCTTAATTTAGTAAATAGTTCTCGGTATAAATTATGCCATATCTATTCTTAGACGCCGTCAAATGTAAGACGCATTCCGATTTATTGAAATTTCAAAATGTGAAAAAATTCGTCTTAAATTCTAGCAAGTACGATTTACGATCAACGGAAGAAACTTGATGTTTAATGAAGACATTTGTTTTGTGATATTAAAACTTCAAAAATGTTTTTGAGGTCCAAGGGATAAAATATTTTGTTTTTGTATTTAATTCCAGGTAGGATGAATTTATAATTAAGGACTTTGGTTGCGTGTTAATTAGACTTCAAAAAATTATCACTTAACACTTAAGGGGTGTCTAAACCTGCAATGTCAACTGCACAGAATTGAGTTTGCGTAATTATAATTGATAGTTTAATGGCAATATTGAATTTTTGAGCACTGACTGAGGAAACGTTTGAATCAAGAGCATAAATAATTTTTTTAACTCTCTGGTGCAAATATTGTGCGACACATATTCAGTTTTAGGCTTATGTATGTAACAAGGTAATGTTGGCCCCCCTGCGGTTGTAAATTTAAAATTATTAAATGCTTATCCAGCATCCACAATACGTGAGGTCTTCGGCTAGATGCGATGAAAATTTCTAATGATAGCAGCCATTTTTAACAAGCTAAAACACCAATTCGGAAATAAGTAATATATTATTATTAACTTACATTTTGTTCAAATAATTTTGATGTCTGATTACGTATCGTTTCTTGAACTATTCTTGAATTATTTCGTCATTTTCCTTAGTACCAACATTTAACGCTTAAATTAATAAGTATATATTAAATCTTGTCTGTCTAATGACAATAAATTCTTATTAAATATTAATATAATTAACATTTAAAATATTTAAAATATTAAATGATGTTCTTTATCGAAATATTCGGATTTTTACCAGATATCAAACGATGTTCTTTTTCAGATTTTTATTCCATTTTTAATAACACGTTTTATTGTTAATTATTGTAATATTTTAATATTTAATAAGAATTTATTGTGATTAGACGGATAAGATTTAATATATACTTATTATATCACAATATGATTCAACTTTACCAGCTTAAATTAATAACTAAACACACTTTTTCATATTACTTAACTCTGGAAGTTACGATTACAGAATGATACTTACGCGTTATTTACTGACTCATACAGGGAATGCGAAATATTTATTTAGATGAATTTATTATGTAACTAATGCAACTTTGTCGTTACTATAATTATGCATTCAGTCGTTGTCTTGAGGAACTGAAGAAATTACACGAATCCACAGTTGATCCTTCGGAAAATGTCATGGAACTGTGGACTGTGACGCCAAAGAAATCGCATTGGACGATGGTAACGAGACGGGGGCCCCGTTTGGCCGTCAGCTCAACACAAAATATGTCGTCTTTAAACTTTTTGACAGAGACGTAATATAAAAGAAACATATTTTACAGCGTGCCCAAAAATATATGTACTCAGTGTTGTCTTATGCGTTGGTTCTGTGTATAAATCTTCTTGGGACGTTCTGTAATAATTTTAAATTTCTTTTTAAGAGTGCCCAACGTTCATCAGAGTAAAATTCCGACTTCCGTTGTCCGAAATGTTTATCGGTGGAGAAACAAAGCTGTATCTTTACCAAGAATCAAATACAGTTCGTTTATATTTGGAATATAAATGGTTAGTCTAGGGGGATTAATAACCAAAGTTTGTTATTCGTTTGTTATTGTATACATTCGAGGTCTTAAAATTTTATTAACGTTAAAATTCTCACACATTTAAAGGACCGGAACTTGTGGTCTTAAAAGCGAAACGGTGATCTCACAAAATAGAACTAAGACAAACGAGGAAAATGCGATTGAAAGTCCTTTTCTGACGTTTCGGTACATTTTTAATTTTTATTTTATGTTTTTGAGTACATCAGTGATACTAGTCAGTGGGTAATAATTGTGGTTAGCTAAATATTTGTCTCCCAGTGAAAGCTGTGGGTCTTCCCAGCCAGAAACAATTGATCCACGAGCTCGAAGCCTTAAAATTTGTAAGCTGGAGAAGGAAATTAATAACACGGCAGAACAGTAAATTCGATAAAAATCAAAACCTCTTGTGATCAAATCTTGTTAGCACAAAGTTTTCAGATACCTATAGACCTTTCTCAACATCACTGATAAACCCTAAAATATAGCATTTCAGATACTGTGTGTGTGTCAGATGGCAATTAGTCATTAGGATTTGTTTAAATCTTGTCCGTATAATCACAATAAAATTCCTGTTAAATATTAAAATATTACTATAATTAACATTTAAAATATATTAAATTATATTCTCTATCGAAATATTCGATTTACTTTAGAATATAACTTTTTACACGACATGTTTCAGTTCTAAAAGAAACGTCTTCAGGTGTATAAAATTATATAAACTTAAATATAATTTCTTAAATGCAACTTTTTAGTCAGATGTTTATCAGATTTCAAATTTTAAATGATGTTTTCTTCCAGATTTTATTGTATTTTTTTAATATCGTATTCGAAGTAGTTCTGTATATGTACGTCGTGTTTAACATGATTTTGTGTGGGTGATCGTTTTGTTGTTGTTTTTGTATCATCCAGAAATGAAGTTGTGGAGGAGTTACGTCCGTCTGGAAGTATTGCCGTGTTTGAACATTTCGATAGAGAATATTATTTAATATATTTTAAATATTTAAATGTTGATTATGGTAATATTTTAATGTTTAATAGGAATTTTATTGTGATTAGACTGACAAGATTTAAACAAATATATATTTATCACAATATGACGCAACTTTATCATCTCATAGCCATTAGGAGTTAAATTTCATTGTTTATTGTTTGTTACTAATTACTAGATTTGTACTGATATGAATTTTCTTCTCTTGTTTCAGGTAAATTAAGAACTGGAGGCGGATACAACACGAAAAAATTGGTTATTTTTATAAGGATTAGGAATTAATAATGAATACTTACATATATTTTTGGAGAGCGTACTTAGTATTTCAGTTTATGACAATTAAATTCCGGCAATCAAATTTACCTCTTCGACGATAACAATCATAATTATGGGGAAATTTTGGTGTGTCCTCTCTCACCCTCTCTGAACTAAAACACTGTCTTCCAATGCAAGAAGAAATAATTTATTTACAGAAATAATCGACGCTTTATGGATAAATATAAAGCATATACGAAAACAAATTTACTTCCATGAAAGTCGTCTTATCTCAGACCTAATCTGTTATTACTTTGCTCGTATAAGTATGGTAATTATTTTAAATTCTATCATGGTTATGAATACAAATCGTAACAATTACAAATTGGATTCGCCGTCCTACCACAAAGATCTATACAACAATAGCGGAAGTAACAATTACCATCATTACAACAATCAACAGCAACAACCATCCATGAATTATAACAGCTGGTACTGTGATAATTCTACCCAACACAGCGTACCACAGTACGAAGAATCCCAGCCCGGAAACAAGGAGCGCAGTCCGCCATGTTGTGGATGCTTTCCTTTTGAATCGTGTGTAGGCTCTGAATCCGCCGAGCACGGCTCGACTCCCTGCAACAACGACGGAAGTCACTCGACTTCGAACGGGGTCTACGGAACCTCGGCCAGCGGTGATGACGACGATGACGGCTTCGTACCGCGCTCTAGCGGCGGTTATCGGTACCATCATAGTGTAGTGAACGTTACCGGAAATGCTACCAGTACCAACATACTTCGAAATACGTCGTCTTCCGGTAGCGACAGTGGTGATAGGACGTGTTGTGTTTCGTCGTGGTGTTCAGGGCAGCGGGATGCGACCCCAGGTACCACTACAACCACGGAGGATAGTTGCTGTTCCGGTTGGTGCAAGCCGACGATATTGCTCCTGCTACTAGCGCTCCTGGTGGTCGTCTTTGTACTCATATCTGGGATTCTTCTCTACTTCAATTGTACGTATTTCAAGTGATCACTCCTGCATGATTTGTAATTCTGTTACAGAACGTTAAGTTTTAGTAAAATCCTAACACGGAATTTTAAAATTCATGTCGCGTAGCTCTACTTTTAAAGATACTCAGATTAACTTTCATGTTACGAAAATGGCGGCGAGTTCATGGATTCTTAGCTTCTCAAGTTGTACTCTTTTCCAAGGATGCAAATGTGAGTTGGATTCATCTGGCTGAACGCACGGTACGGATATTAACAAGAGATTTGTTGGTGACACGATGTTCATATCACAACTGATTGATCATAATCATCATTTCAGTCAATTCGAAACGATATTCAGTATTACAGCGATCGTAAAGAAGGTCTGAGTCGAATAGATGATTTGTATTCTCACAGTTGTTGCAACTCAAGAATCGATATTATTTATCGATTTGATTGTTTTAATTGGTGCTCGCATTTACGATGTTTTTGCTGAGATGATAAAGTTGCGTCATATTGTGATATAATGAATATATATTATTTAAATCTTGTCCGTCTAATCACAATGAATTCTTATTAAATATTAAAATATTACAATAATTAACATTTAAAATATTACGATAAAGAACATCATTTGATATATTTTAAATATTTTAAATCTTTGATATGTAACTCATTTTATTTTGGAGTGAGAATCTTAAAATATAAAGTGGAAATCCGTCCACAGCGAAGCGTTAAACGACTTCTCTTTACGTGGACATATTACGTCCGTCAAACATTGACGTGTATAAGAAAAGCTATATTTCACCTCAGAAAAACTTTAATTTCCCTCTTCTGCGTTGGACTACCATAGTTATTATTTAAATTTGAATTATATCATCATAATGTAAATATTTTCTCTACTGGATAAATTGCATTTAAATACATGGCTGTTGATTTTTAAAATATTTGTATTACACAACAAACTTGTAGTCTTTAGTAGGTCTTCTTTGCCTTAAATCGATTTAATAAAAGGATATTCTGTAAATATTTGCTATGTACTCTTTATGTACAGCCTTATCGTTGGTAAAACTGACGGAAAGAGGTTAAATGGGGCACTTTTATATCGGCGGGAGTTTCATATTAAAATGGACAGCGAAGGGATGTTTACGGATTGTGTTATTTGTTTTTATTATAATTGTTATTAATAACTTAACGTGGATGGCTTTTATTTCTCGACGTTACAATCACGTAATGAATATGGGACTCGATTACACACGCCATGAGAAGAAATTAGCTTCTTAAATGAAACTCTGTGTACGTAGAGTCGTTGAAACCGGGAATAAAGAATTTCTAGGAAAAACTTGATGTTTCGGTCTGTCGAGAGTAGAAGCAAATTGAAATTAGTGCTTTTAAAGTTCATCGCTCTGAGACCAGGTGAATTAAAACTGGCAGGTAAGAGTTAAATAAGTCAGACGTTGCCATATTCTTTAATTGTTAAGATAAAAAATTATGTGTGGTTGTTAAAACGGTGTACCTTTTTATGGTTAATGCCGATGGTACATTAGTCATGGCCATTAAAGTATAAATTTCGTATGCATTTCGTGTGGCCTCAGTCGTCTTTAAAGATCCATGCAAAGTGAAAACCTACATAATTTTCGATAGATTTTTCAAGATCAAATTTATTAAATATTCATTAAATTATGCTTATGTAGACCAACTCCATTGTCATTTGACGTAACATTTGAAGTAATTTTATTAAAGAGTTTAATTTGTGTGCTGTGGTTTTAAATTCAACAGCTTTAATACGGGTAGTTGCAGATTCATTTGTTATAATTAGTATCGTGTGCTGGAAGAAATATCAGAAAATATTAATTTGGTTTAAGTAATAAAAAATATTAAATGCAGTTTAACTGACGTAACTGGGAAAGGACATAACTTTTTGTCAACATTTTATTTGTTGCTCATATTTACGAACTTTGTAAACGCATTTTAGAGCAAAAAAATATGTTACTTAATATTTTAGACGGACGGAAATTTTTCTGTGTTGTAATTTAAACTTTAAAATGCACTTTATTTTATTTAATTGTATTCTTTGTCACTGACGTAACATTTTTCATTATTAACTTCCACATTTCTCTGACTTGTATTAATAATTTTATTTTATTTAGTGTTCTGTCTGAGGACAGGTCCATATGAACAGGATCCTTCCATCCTTTTCTCGGACTGGGACCTGTTCATATACGTTCTTGGCAGATGATCCAGAAGTGGTTTGCCATTGCCTTATTCTGTGTGTGAATGGAGTAATTGCTGGGATGCCACGTGTCACGTGGAAAATCTTCTAGAAATTTAACTTTTAACAGCATTGACAGAAGTTACTCGATTCTTACATTTATGACAATACATTTTTCGGGTGCTCCCGAAAACATCACAGACGTGTTTAATCTTTTAAGCCCTGTCTACACGTAACGTCTTATCGTACGTTTTGTTTGATCAGTTAAGACGTATCAGTCAAAATGTTACGTATGGACAGAGATACGGACGTCTTTCAGAAAACGGATCTGTTAGAGCATTGTAAAACGTCAGTCTTTGTAGCTTCTACCTGTCGCTAGAAATCTTAGAGTAGCAATCAGTCTCTCATGGGGTGTGATAGCCCTTCTCATGGTAGTGTCCTTTTTTGTATTTCTGGAGTTACTAAAGATAGTAATTTCAAATAAGTGTCCGTATCCATTCGTAAATAATTACGCCAATCTCCAGGTTCATGACGTAATTCCCGGTGAGAGAATCTGCCCCTCGTTTAGCAACCGTCCTCTAGACCACCGTGAGCGACACACAACTTTCTTTCTTTTCAATTTCACGAGAGACGATGAAACAATCGATACAAGAAATACTTCATCCATGGTATCTATGAAACTGAGCATAAAACGATAGCTTCAACGTAAATAGTGTGGACATGGGATTTTGGTCAGTTTTACCAGACCATCTTAACTGATGAAACAAAACGTACGATAAGACGTTACGTCCAGACCGGGCTTTAGCCGTACATCTGAACGGGTTCTCTGTTGAATTAAGGCGATAGATGGAGCTGTTTTTAAAGCAGGAGGGGACATATTATTAAGAGCAAAATGAATTCTGTATACAATCTTTTTATGAGTTCTGCGGTGTCTCTTTCCACCATGGTTCCTGATGACCAGTGCTGCCACACTAAATACTTACAATATAAAAGGCCCTAAATTCAAAGGAATGTGTTAATAAAATTTTGTATCTCATTTTCATAAACTTATTTCTGTCTCCGTCAGAATTTTGCCTGTACTGACCTAAATTTTCAGAGTTCTCCAGTTCGATTGCGTGGTCCCTGGTAACAGAGTTTTATGGTAAAAAGTAAATTATCTCAAAAAATTGATGTAGGTGGGGAGGAGGCTATGTGTCCTCTCCAATTTTAGACCAGTCGATGATTTTTTTAAGAGTCTGGTACGAACGTTATGGACGCCATTCAAAGCGCGTACTTTTTTTTTTTCAAATTTCCCACGATAATAAAATGGCGGACTAAGATACTTGTGAGATTCTAGCAGCACTAGAACCACTAAGCATATGAAATTGACAATTTTTACAGATTCATTTGGTTTTAAAAGAGTTTGCAAGTTTACGCTGTTCCTTTTTTTAGAGCGTAGAATAAAAACGTGACATCTCCATTAAAACTTACACTCGTTTTCATTTCGATAGCAGACCGTATTCATATTATAAGTTCAAAAAAATAATAATAACACTAAGATTTAATCGTCACATATCTGATCGCGAGTGAAGGTAACATAGCAGTCGGCATGTTCCTCTTCCTGTAAGTTAGGCAACCTTATTCTCTCCCCGTGCATCCTTTTCTACACCTCCCCCCCGCCCACCGGAGTCCTTGCGGTCCTTTTCTGGAGACAAAGTTCTAAACCGTTTGAGCTCATAGCCCGCACTTTACAACTTCTGGTATCTTATTCAACCCGCAGTGCAAACACGAAGCTTTCAAGTTCAGTGCGTCTACAAAACTTCCCAAAACATTCGAGCCCATGGAATGTATTTTCCAGCTTCGAGTACCTCACTAAGTAAACAGGTTATCGGAGTATCGTGTACGTTCCGCTGTGGGTCTCTTGTCAGCAGCCTTCAGGTCTTCTGTGACATATTACCGAAACGTCATGAGTCGGTAAAGTGACTGGGTACGAGCTGGACGACCGTGGTTTGATTGCCGTCTGAATCATTATCTTTTCTCTTAAAACGCCCATCCATACCGGGTTTATTACCCAGTCTTCTATCCAATGCGTGCTACGGACGATTTCATCACATACAAAGTAGCTCAGACGTGGAATTGAACGCGACCATTTTAGATGGTACTTTGGAAATATTTCTGTCTGGCGGTCCTACAACATGAAATATGTTATCAGGTATTCGGTAAATCCGATAAGGAAATATTATTTTAAAACTCCATTATAGAATGTCATAAAAATTAGCGTCTGTAGTAATTGTTAGTGAGTTTATCGTGAGAATGATTTATTACGAAATAAATGGATTAATTTACCAATTAAGTTTTGGTAATAACTCAGTTAATTTATTTAAGTGCCTGACAACAGCCAGGTAAGGCCAATAACAGTCAAGTACTGAACAACATTACAGGATGAAATATAATAAATAATTAAATT